AGGATCCAGGTTTGGGTCCTCAGAACCCACATGATGTCTCAAAACACCCAAACGTGTAAAATTAAAAAAATATAAATGTAAAAAGTCTCCAGGGCCAGTGAGGTGGCTCAGTGAATGAAGGCTCTTGCCACCAAGCCTGAGCACCTGAGAGAAACAGCTCCAACATGTTGTCCTGACCTTCACGTGCATACTATAGGACCTGTGGCAAGCTGTCACACACACACACACACACACACACACACACACACACACACACCAGCCTTGTGGTTTCTGTGCTGGAATAAAACACCATGCCCAAAAAGCAACTTGGGGAGGGAAGGGTTTATTTGGCTTACACTTCTATACCTCAAAGAAGTCAGGACAGGAACCTGGAGGCAGGAGCTGATACAGAGGCCATGGAGGAATGCTGCTTATTGGGTTGTTCTCCATGGCTTGCTCTGCTTTCTTATAGAACTCAGGATCACCAGTCCAGGGATGAAACCACCCACTATGGGCTAGACCCTTCTTCATCAGTCACTAATTAAGAAAATGCTTTACAGGGATAGAGAGATGGCTTCGTGGTTAAGAACACTAAATACTCTTTCAAATGACCCAGGTTCAATTCCCAGTACCCACATGGCAGCTCACAACTGTCTGTAGCTGCAGTTCCAGGGAATCTGACACTCCCACACATACAAGTAGATAGAACACCAGTGTACATAAAATACGGATAAATAAGTTTTTTTACAAGAAAGAAAATGCCTTACAACCAGATCGTTCTCAATTAAGGCTCCCTTTTAAATAACTCTGGTTTGTACATCAAGTTGACATAGGACTGCGTCACACACACTAAGTAAACTTATGTCTACTCTGCAATGCGGCCTAGCATATCTGCCAGGCAGACTCATCATCAGAGCATGTGATCTTTTCTGTGGTCCCAGGGATCAAACCCAGGGTCTTGCACAAACTAGGCTCATACTCTACCCATTAGCCACATCCCCAGTCCAGTTGTGACCAGTCTTGATTTACTCAAACATTCACATATTTCCTGAATGACTGAAGCAAGATCTCAGATGCAGACATTCATAGATAGATAGATAGATAGATAGATAGATAGATAGATAGATAGGTGTGTATATTTTATTATATATATAATGGATATGTGTGTGTGTGTGTGTGTGTGTATGCACACACACACATACATATATCAGATGAGGTCTTTCAGAAGCACAGTCAGCAGCACCATTACTTCTGAAAATGTGATGTCACATTAACTATCAAAGTTGTCACATCCAGTCAGTGTTCACACTTCCATACAGATGTGTCCTAACAGAAGGTCCAGGTGACCCCTTCATCTTGCTTGCTATTTCACCAGATGAATTCAGTTCCTCAGAAGTAAAGCACCTGTCACAGTCCAGCTGCTTTTTGAGACTGCTCTTGATACGTGAGGAAAGCTTGGACCCAGCCCCAGGTGACTGGTAAGCCTAGAGACGGTCCTGTGGGCCTAACCAAACCATAGTGCTCTGGAGTGTCAGGTTCCTCTCCGCTCAACCTTTCAGTGTGTGACGGTCACATGGTACAAACGTCAGCCAACAGGACACAGCCTGCCACCACTATCCTCCTTCCTGCTGAGCACTGCAGAGAGCATGGGAGACCCTTCTCAAGGAGCTCCAAGATAGGTGACTCTGGCAGGGAGGACATGGCTTCCCCATCACTGTAAACCCACAGTGGGACCTGAGGGTAAGAGTTCACAGGCTACCCGAAAGCTCCTCTCCCTCCTGGTTTCACAGCTTCTCCGGGTGTTAAAAAGAACAACACCACAAGAAAGGGGGGGGGGGGACTGAAGGAGCAAAATCAAGAGTTCTCTAGCTGGATAGCTCTACTGATATTGAAGTAAGTTTTATTCTCTGACATTTCGTGCATATTTACATAATGTATTTTGAGCACACCTCCCCCATACACACACTTACATAATAAATATAAAATCTTTTTAAAAAATGGTTTCAGAGTGTTATGTGCTTTTTGAGTGCCAGGAAAGCCTCGGTGGCTTGTACAGGCTCGCATGCAGTACAGGCTGAATGAAGCAACTTCAGGTGAGTTCTGTGGAGCCTGCACATGACTGAGAGGACGTGTGTCCGCTCTCTCTTGCTTTCACTGTTCTGACATCCCACCAAACACTTGCCCCTGATCTCTTCCTCCTGTTTCAGAAATAAGTGACGGCATTTAGGCATGGGCTTTGGGTTTTTGTAGTTTTATAGATATGTGTTTGCTAGGAACATTATTCGCTCTCTGGGGTTTTCTCAGACCCGCACATTCATTCTTGCTTTAAAGGTTAGTATAAGCAACAAATGATTTTTAGTTGAGTTCTGCCCTTTTAAAGCATCAACATAGGAGCTCGGGCTGTAGTTCAGTTGATAGAGCACCCACTTACCATGTTTCAGGTCCTAGATTTGACCCCCAGCACCACATACGCTGTACCTAGTGGTGCCTGTAATCTCAACACTTGGGAGGCAAAGACAGGAGGATCAGAAGCTCAAGGGCATCCTTAGCTACATAGAAAATGTGAGGCCAGCCTGGGCTATAGGAGACTCTATTTCAAAACAAAGGAAGGGCTGCTGGGAGCAGTGATGCACACCTTAAGTCCCAGCACTCCGGAGGCAGAGGTAGGAGGATCTCTGCAAGTGAGGCTAGCCTGGTCTACAAAGTGAGCTTCAGGTCAGCCAGTGTAAATATCTGGACTTAAAGTCAGTGGCATAGCAGCTGAAAAGACGCTCACCACTGTCTGGAACTGCAGACGCTCACCACTGTCTGGAACTGCAGACGCTCACCACTGTCTGGAACTGCAG